CTAATTCTTGTCTGGCCAGGAAGACCCAGGACTGGGATTTCCAAAACTACATTCATCACTAGAGGAGCGTGGGAGGAGAAGAAAGCCATCCTTTTATCAGTTCACCTTCTAGCATGAAAACTGCACTGTCATCAAATCTGTGGAAGTTATTCTTCTACTCCCCTGACCATTCCTGGTGAACTGATACAGCAAAGGAGTGACAGAGAAATGAATCTGTCATTTTTATAGAGAACTGCAGTGACATTAATAAATCTCATGGTCAAAACAGTATTGCCAGAGTGAGCACCTGAGGCCAGACAGCTCCCCAGATTTCCAGAGCAACAACAGAGATGGCATTTCAGAGGCTGACAATGTCCGTAACATAACAGGGTGCTAAGTTGCTTGTAGGTGTAATAGGGATCAAGATACCGGACCTTAAAATGTTCCCATCATCTTCCTTCACGTGACGATTTTAGCAGCTAAAAATGAAAGAAATGACTGCATTATACCCTATGAAAACCAGAATGTCAGGCTTCCAGATGGTGTGAAGCACTCACTTCTAAATTCAGCTGTTCCTGAGACAACAGCCACTAAAACCATGTCACAACTGAAGTGAATGAAATGGTTGTAAGTGAAAAAGGTGACTTTCAAAGCTTGTGTTCATCCACAGTGTTCTTTTTCCATTGCTGTTACTGCTCTCTTCAATGGCTAGGAACAATGACCAGAAAGAAGTGATACCAGTAGCACAGAATGAAGATCTGCAGCTGCCCTCTCACTGAGACTTTCCCCCCTTTTTGCTTCTTTAAAACAAAAAGGCCACTCACTACACAGAGATGTCTGGTCGTGCTGGAAGCAGAGCGCCAGCAGGGCTAGAGCACTGCTTATGATACCGTGGAGTAGATATTCTAGCTTGAACCTCTACACGGTCACAGCTCAGCTGCAAGAAAATGCAACTGTATCAAAACAAATCACAGTTGGGAATGGGGGAAAAAAACACATCATGTTCTCATAACAGTAAAAGCTACTTTGATCCACTTTCAAAACAATACATCAATCTCATCTGCAACTCTCATCACACAATGAACAGAACTAAATATATTGAACAAACCGGTCCATAATTGTCTCTCTCTCTCTCTGTCCAGCCCTTGCCAAAGTAACACCTCATCAGTCCTTTTCTATATTGCCTGAAAGGATGTAGACTTTCTTTCACAATTTAGGGTCTGATCAGCTGGAGGTAGTCTGCAGCTGTAAGAACAAGGCCTCCTCCCAGCATGAAGATGATACAGAAAAGGCTCCAAGTATAAGTATGGAGACAATTTTGATCCAAACAGAGAACTGAAGAGACAGAGAGAGCAAGAGGTATGCACACAGGTCTCTCTGCACATGAGACAGGGCAAGAGGCACAAAGGCAGCCTCACTTGTAGTTCAGGGCTGCAGGGACAGTAGGGACGTGGCTGCCTTCCGGCACAGAAGGGAGGGCACTGGAAAGCAGGGTGCCAAAGAGAGCCCTGGCCTCATTTGCCTGGCAGACTCCCAGAGCCTCTGAGGTTGAGTGCTGTTCATGGGAGTCTGTCTCTTATGAAAGCCTCGGCTCCCCCGATGAAACAAACAATTGAAACAAAGAGTCCATGGCTGGTGGCTGCGAAGGTTTGCGGAGGCCTGTCTTGCTTGCTGCTCTCTCTCTTTTCCAACGCAGTCACCTCACGGTATCCAGCCCATCAATATGACACGTCCACAACAACTTCAAACCACGAGAGACATCCTTGTTGGGAAATCGTTCTGAGAAGAAAGAGAGAAGAGAAACGTCAACAGGAAAGCACCCATGGAACGAACAAAGAGCCTGATGTAGCTTTGACAGAGACACAACCAAACAGCAACAGCTTTGTCTGCTCACACCCCTTTCGTCTCTCACACATGCCACTTAAGCTCAGGGCCAACAGCCAAGCTGCTCTAATGACAAGGTCTCTCCCATGGAGCAGACTGCAGCCAGCTCCCCTTCCCCAACAACCATGAACCCATCAGTCCTCACTAGCCCAGACTGTGGCAGGATGTTTTGTACTTGCTGGTATCCTGTGTGAGGGATGCCTGTGGCATGCATAGCCCCTACACACGCCCACGGGCATGCACCCACAGGAGTCTCATCTCACCCCTTTCAGAAAGACCCGAGGTCTCTTACACCATGCCTTGCTACTAGCCCTGTCCCAGTCCAGAAGAACAGAGCCTCTCAACCCTTCCTTATCAAGGATCAAAGCCAAAGCAATACCCTGTAATTTCTGTAAGCCCTGGGTAAGTTCCCTTCCCTACCACGAGCCTCCTAAACCCTAAATAAACTCCCACTTCCTTGGATCACCAGGCCACAGATGCCAAAAACATCCCTTACCTCCCCAGTCCCAGGCACATCTGTCCCTCCCCTCCAGCATGGAGTCTTGTGTAGGACCTATTTCCCTTTCTGGCCTCCTACACCGAGTTACTGCCCTCTTCTCACAGTGACTCCCCTTATCTGGGGTTCCCCACACTCAGACTCCAGGCTCCACCCTCCTGGGGAGCCCCCCTGCCCCTAACCTCTGGTTAGTAACCCCTGCCTGGTGGCTCCCTGCTCGGCCTATTTAGATCAGGAACACCAGACATGGCCTCACTGTTTTCTTGGCATCCTTTTTCCTCTTCTTGTCAGAGGCGTTGAGGTAGGCCTGCTCCCTGGCCCTGTACGAAGGGCCTCGGCTCAGCTCCCTCTCGCTGTATGGGGGCAGGGTGTCCTCCCCTTCCTCCTGCTGAGGCGGTGGTGGTGGCGGCTGCTGCGGCTGCTGCTGCGACTTCTCGGCTTTGTAGGTAGAGGGTGGTGACCAGGCATAGTATGTTCCCCCTCCTCTCTGGCTGGGCTGCGAGCTCAGCTTTGAGGGGGTTTCACTGTGGTCACCGCTCTCATCGTAGCTCCGTGATTTCCTCTCCAAGACGCTGCTGAGGTAGGAGTGATCGTATTTCTGGCTCCCTCCAGGCGTCCGGCTCACCAGCCTGGGCAGGTGCTTCTCCTCATGGGCCCGTCTCCGGGGTGGGCTGTATGACCAGCCCCGATCCAAGTCAGTCAGCGGCTCTCGGTTCCCTCTGCTACGCTTGGTGTAGTACTCCTCCATGGAGCTATCCTGGTGGGGCAGCCCTCCGCCGCGGCCACCGTGCGACTCTGACCGCTCGAAACGCCGAGTTTCCTGGCTGTCTGCCCGCCGGGTCCGCTGGCTGTAGGACTCTGCAAAGGCTGCCAGCTCATCCATAGAGACGGCCGGCACTCCCACAGAGAAACTCTTACGGGACAACATCTCGGACTTGGATCTCTGCTGGCTGGAGGATGGAAAAGGTAGTGTTAGAGGGCAGGATTCAGCTGCGCTCATCCCCTTGGCTGCCTTCACAGACAATGGAGGGAAACAGGCACTCCTGGGGCATGAATCATCTGACCTGTTTTCATCATCTTCTGTAGGAAGAGATGTATCACATCCCCGAAATCCCTGCTTCTCTCTGCTGACTGTAAAGGCAGCTTAGTGCACATAGCTCAGACTCTACATGTCTAATGTTACACGAGATTAACCCCAGAGTGCACCTCCCTTATCCTCCAGTATGCAGAGTTGGACTTGCTTCTCCTTGGCCCCAAAGCTTGTAGGTGTATGTCCTGCTGGGAAAACCCAGGAACCCGGCTACAGAAGGTCACAGCAGGGCAATTTTGAAGCACCTGGTTTAAAGACCTGGCACAATAGCCCAGTACTGAGGGAAGGAAATCCCTGCCATTGCTTTTGGGACACTGGGCTGCTGGTATGTGAAGGAAGGATGTGATCTCTCTCTTCTAGGCACCAGAGTGCCAGTCCTTTAGGCCTGGAGTACAAGTCTTGCTGCACCAAAGCACCAGCGTGTGACTCCCAATAAAGCGCAACAGCACTGGGAAGTGCTGGAGGGATCAGGTACAAATCTCAAGAGAGTACTTTGAGAAGGGAGGCTTGGTTTCCTGTTGACCCCACTTTTACATCCCACCTGGAATGAGGCTGGTACCTAGCTTTGCCCACCTGGGTAGGCTTCAGCAGGCTTGTGGGAATCAGATTCATTCCATCCTCATCTAATGACATCTCCAGATTTCATGTTTCTCTCTAACCCCTTTGTCCTGCTAAGCAGAACCAGAGCAGGAGGAGTAGTATTCTTTACTACTTTGCCAGATATAGCTGCCTCCACTCCTCACCTGTGCCGGAAACTGTCCCGCTCATCTCTGTAATCGGAGACAGCCTGTGATCTCGACGTGCTGCCCCCGCCCATCACTCCTGCCCAGTATTCAGCATCGCCATCCAGGTCCCCTGCAGGAGGCAGAGGTTTCCTTCGCACCTGGCGGTAGGGTTGCCGGAAGTTCAAGTCCTCCTCATGCAAAGAGCTGAGTTCAGAGATGGTGTTGTTATCTGCAGGGGAGGTTGCAGAAAAGAAATGAGATAGGCATCACATGATAGCATGTGTGAGAGGGGAGGAGAGGACAGGAAGGCTGTGGTGAGCACAGCTGCAGCTTTTTCAGAAAGAAGCTGAGCTGCCCTCCGTTAGGAAAAAATCAAAATGGAATCCAAGGCCCTTCTCCAAACCCTGACCGATCCTGCCCAAGACTCCTGGGGCTCAGTTTGGACATAGAGCTGCTGTTGGACCTACAGGTCTTCTGACCTGGTAGCTGGCAGCCAGGTGGGATATTCTAAGGGTATCACAAATGGCATCAGCTGCCTGTGTTCCAGATAACTGAGTTCGGCCTTCATGCAGAAATCGCCCCTCAGCCCTGCTTCAGTAACACATGTGAACTCTCCGCCCTCACGAGGTGACCGCTGAGCTTGGTGGACCATCATCACAGCGGTTGTGCCACCTCCCCCCTTCCTGGTGTGATACAGGCTCTGGATTTGGCCTGACTTGCCCAGTTAAAACAAAAAACTCAAAAAAAGATTAAGAAAAAAGTAAGAGACTGAATCACTGTCAGTCTCTACCCCGTCAAGCACGTTGACATCTGGAGGCCTGACACACCAATCTGGAGAGGTCTTTTTATAGTAAATCTTGTGGGTGGAGAAGACAGTGTGCTCAGCAATGACTGTTTTAGAAGTATATATAATTTGTTAGTTATGCCTAATCTGTACAGAGCTTTGATGTAGTGTCATTCCCTAAAGCCCTTACCTTCATCGATTTGCAAGATCTCATGCGTCCGTTTTAAATGAGCCTCTACCAGTGCCTAATGTGGGTTAGCTCTGTGCAAGTCGGATGCTGCCCAGAGGAACTGAGCCCCCAGCCTGCTGCTGTCCTCCACACAGAACAGCTAGAGGACAAAGCAGCACTGCAAGCTCTCCTCATGCACACACCTTGTCCCACCACTGCACCTCTGCCTCCTAACGTGGAAAGATCATCACTTGGGTTTGTATTCTGACACCCATTAAGTGCAGCCTCAGCCTTTACTTAGGGAAATAAAGCTTACAAGTGAGGAGTTCCAGACAGAAGCTCAGTTCTGAGTTTGCATCATGTCCCTATTCACCACCCTCCTCCCCTTCACCTGCAGTTGTCTGACTGCCAAGCCGTCGGTACTGATGCGTGTACCACCTCTGATCTTATCTTGACCAGTGTCACAAAATCTGACGATCCCCTGGTTTCTTGAATCTTTCTTGTAGTCCCTGCTCCTGCAGGGCAACAGCCACTCCAAACTACCTTTCTGCATCCTTCAAACCACACTGTGGTCACTGCAGCCCACAAAACACGCTTTCAATAAAACATCCCTCTCCTATTTTGCCATGCTGGGAATTTACATGCACCACACCGTAAGACATACAGAAATTGTGAAGACAATATCCCAGCTATTATCACACCACAGGCTATAGAAGGCATGAGTACGGACTTGGCTTTTCAGATGCTGATGATCCAAAAGTTCAATTATCCGAGTGGACAATTTTCATAAGCATTTGAGTATCCCTCACCTTGTTTGTTCTAATTAAGGATGATTAGGTAAGCAGCAGATCTTTAAAATCAGAACATACCTGTAGATGCCTAAAATCTAGACTTTATCTGCCCCAACTACCATATCCTGGACATCATATCCTAGAGGTCGGCTCTAAGGCAAAGCCAAGTGAACTTTTTAACTATGAATTTGCAGTCTTTTTCAGGTCAGTGAAAAAAAAAAATCAAACCATGCTCGTTCCTCACATCGTTCTCGCATCCTCCTAGCTGGGTCGAACTGAGCCAGTTCTTTCTCAACATAGTACAGCACCTTCATGGAGTCCCTTTCCTTGTCAGCCTGGATCCTGTACCCTTTGCGCACTGCTAGGGAGAAAAGAAAAGCATTAGAGGAAAACACATTTAAGTCCAAGGAGACTTTCCAACAATACTGCTTCTAATAGTTGAGCTCTCGTCTGCAGGCAGGTAGGCTCTGTCTTCCAAAACAGAGTGAGTCAGTCCTTGCTTCAGAAGAAATTTGTCTGTAACGTGGGATGTGAAGTTGTGAGCAGCTGCATCATTTATAAAGTTTGCAGTAACAGCAAAAATGGTTTGGAAATGCCCAATCTGTACAACCGAATGCATCAAGTGGTGTCATTGCCACAGAGTGATTCCACCTCCCACAGAGGATGGCAGAGAGAAAAGTAGCACTCATTTCCCCTTCCTCAGCACTACAGAAAGGATTCGTCATGGTATGGGAGAAGCAGTCCCAGAAGATCAGGCTTCCTCTATGCAGCAGGGGCCATAAGCTCCCAGCCTGCAGGGGAAGCAGGTGGCTGAGCATTTGGGAGCTGTCACTCTGCAGGACCACTCCACCCTCCCATCCCTATGAATTCTGCTCACACAGGCTGAAGAGCATGTGGTAGGAGAAGCTCCAGAGAATACAGAAGGAAACACACAAAGTCCCACAAAGTACGTCACACTGCTTTGAGATTTATACCGAACCCAATGATGGGGCCAATCAGGTCACTGGGTAACTGTGGAACTGCCTGCTCTGGCATTCTTTACATGCTTTATTTTACAGAAAAGGTGTGTCTTACACATACATTAGGCGCTTGACTGGGACTACTCCATTTGCAGGGGAAGCCTGGACAGCTTTTTTGGCTTTTCCACATTCCTGTGTGTAGAAAAGAAGCCCCTACACACCTGGAGCCACAGCAGGCTGGCTCCATGCACACTTCACCTGCTAACCCTCTGAACAGCCTGACTACCTCAAGGCAGGTCTATAGTCAGCAAGCAGAGAACTCCACCTACCAGGACTTTGAAGAAAATACCTGCTTTTACAGCAGATTATTTAAGAAAGGTCTCAGCCTGGGGCTATTTCAAGATTGACGGAAACACCTGTCTAAGCACAAAAGAGAACTACAACCCTCAAATTCAGCCTCATTAGAGAACTGTCGTGAGGACAATTCACTTAGCACTACAAAATGGAACCTGTCTGCCTTGCATGGGGTTAATATGTTCCCTTGTGTGAATACTGCAGTGTTGCATGAGCGCTCCTCTTGTGGCACGATTTAAATACTCGGACGGTGGTTTTGAGCCAACCTGTTCTTTCTGTTTTATCCCACCCCCCGATACATCAAGCTACTAACATATGGGTTTGGTAGTACATTGCATAGTATGCACTGTGTGGGCTGAACAAGGACTTGGCAGAGGTATTCTTAGGCACCTTCTGTCCTAAACTGCTGTGCATGTGTCTGTGCACTATTAAATAACCATGCTCTGCTTCAGAAACGGCTGTGCCATAGAAATGGGTAGAATGATTCCTGTAATAATCCTGCAAATTGCTTCAGGAGGGAAGCGCTTTACTGTGGGTTTTGACTGTGCACATATAAGGTAAGTAATTACATCTTGAAATATTACCTTGTGTATCTGTACTTGGGAAAGGTATTAGATGTTAAAACATAGTATGGGTCTATCAGGGTCCTGCTTTCAACGTGTCTCCAGATAGCTTAGCTGACAGCAGTCTGGAGTTTCGCCGTGTTTTATTATCCCCATGAATGTGTGCACAACGACTGCAAATGTACACAGTGATTTACAGAACACAAGGAACCCTGTCTCCGCCTTCCAAAGTGGAAGACCATCACGTGTCTTGAAGTGAGGTTGCTGCTATGAAGAGGGGCTGGACTGACAGGCCTCAGAAGCGATGACTCCTGCTGCACTGCGTGAGCAACAGCAAGGCGAGTTCTCCACTTCACCTCATCATCGTGGCTGACCTCTGTCTGGTACCTTGCCAGGAAAGAGGCCTCTCGCTATTCTTTCTTCTGATGTGCCTACTAGGAGCTCAGCTAAGCTGCCATCTCATTTATATACAGGCCAGCAAACAACCATCAGCTGGAAATGACTCTGACCTACTAATAACCTTTGGGGAACTTGAACAGGCAGCCTCCAGACTCTGTCTCCCCAGAGCCACTACTCACGCTGAGGCTGTGCCGAATATCTATTTGGGCAACATCTATAGCGCCTGGAACTGATGGAGAATTAGCTAGGCTTCATGCTAGCTTCATGCTCAACTTGCTATTGCAGCTGTGTATCAAAAGGCAAATTAATTTCTTGGTTAATTCTGAAAGCATCTAGAAATTAACTTTGGATTTAAATCTGCAAAGATGACCGTGAACAGCTCATAAAAAGTATTTTCCATTATAGATGAAGCATATTTTGTCTCTACGTTTCTTTATTAAATACTTCTCACAATGATACTGAATGTTCAACTTATTAAATCTCTTTATTATTCCTTCATGTGAGAACCAAAGATATTATTGCTTCCTCCTCACACCCTTCTTCATCTGTAAATTGCCATAACCCTTTAATAAGGTCTGAATATTTTTAGGCCCATCTTAATTATATGGGAATAAAGATGCAGAGACGTTAACCACTTGTCCAGAACCATTCACTGAAGTCAAAGGGAATGGAACATTCTTCCCTGTTAGACCATATTTTCCTCTCCTGAACAGTTCATAAATTTCTAATGTTTAATTTGTGTTTAACTAGACACTTTTTTTATTCTTCTGTGGGTGGAACCAAGTCAGCCAAAACTGTAAGCTGTTTCCCTCCCCAGAAAGGACATCACTATTTTTTTCACACAAGTGCGGCTAAGAAGTAAATGTCTCATCTTTATACACTTTCCATATCAAAGGTCTGGAGTCCAGCTCTCAGATCAAAAGCTTCCCTGCATACGTGGTTTAAGGAATCTATGCAAGAGTGTCCAGGTAATCACTGCATTTAAAATAGACAGAGCATACATCCTAACTTATGTGTTGCCAACACTCTTCCAGAGAAGAGAGCTGAAAGTTTATTTTTTTTCCCTGTTCAGCCCTAAGTTTAGGATGGAGCTCCTAGGCTTCACTGGAGCTTTGTCACATGGCTTTTATGTAACCCGAGACAAATTTTCTAAATATCCTCATGCCTGAGTTTGCTCACTAGATCACCTCACAGGGGTCATTTATAAGCACAGAAACTATCTAGGGCAAAGGCTGTCATTTTTAGCCTGGCAGCCAGGATTACAGAATCCTCCAGTCTCTGTCCCCCAGCACTTCTGATCCCATTTTTTTAAATAAACTTGACAGAAAGGTTGAAGTCTCAAAGATACCAAGTTTCAGACCAGACCCACACTGGCTGCGTGGAGGACACAGAGACGATAATTAGCGCTCCTTCTGAGAAAAGGCCTTTATTATAAACTCAACCGTTACCTGTTTTGTTCAGCTTGCTGTCTGGCCAACCAGCAAATAAGTAGCTTGGAACAGCCACATAATGTTTTCTCTTCTACAGCCTGTAATTAGGGGATATTCTCGCATGGTGGAGGACTTTAAGAGAAAAGGAACAGGGTGCAGGGTATCACCCTTCCTTAGCTCCACAGTTCAAAGAATACCTTGAACAACGGGTGCATAATCCAGACTAAGGGTTTGTCCGTATTATTGCAAAAAATATTAATTAGAATAAAAAAAGCTTAAGAACCTCTGTTGTCTTGCCACAACAGTTAAAACTCTGTAATAATGGTTTTCTACATTAAGTCCAGCCAGCTGATTTGGACTGTATAATAAATGCATCTTTCTGTGTAACGAACATGGGATGCTAAGAGCCGTTCCATTGGGTACCAAAGGCACCCACAGTTTTTCTGCATTTGTGCTCTGCTAGTAACGTACAGCAGACGAGACTGGGGCTGTGATCTGACTCTTCAAAAATCCCTGGAGTTCCCACGGCCAACATCACGCTCTACATGCAGTGACATTTTTCACAGGAGAAAAAAATTAAGCACTGGGCCGTCGTTCATCATTTTCTGACAAAGGTTTTTGAATTACATACGTTCTGCTTTGGATCAGCGATTGATTTATTTCCTATTTCAAAATGCTCCATTCCAGAGCTCTGTTTTGATTTCAGTGGGAGGAAAAAAGTATGATTGTCGAGGGAAAATACTTTTTCTAATTCCAGAAGGGTTAATATACTGACTGGGGCAGCGGAAGGATGTGAGGGTTGTTCCAAAAGCTTAATTATTTGATTATGCTACTTGATCTCGTCTTTTCAGAAGTGTCTTATCAACACATTGCCATGAGTAAATTTAACAACTGATAGTTAGTGTGGTGCTTTGAAATCAGACATGTGGCTGGATCAATGGCAAACATACTGTGTCAGTATGGTGACTCTACACTGGTGAGAGTCACTTCTGCTGCAGCATGTTTGAATTTAGACAGCCACTCTGATCCTGAAATGTTAGCATGTGGCTAAATAGCTACCCTCTTTTTCCTTGATGGCAGCTTCCTTTGCAGCGGGAGAAGTGACCCTCACCAAGAGAGAGTCATCATACTATGTCTGACATTGATGCACAACTCCTTTCTAGTTAGAAGCCTTTTATCACTCACATTTCACAAATGCAAAGGCTGAACAAAAAAAGTGACCTACTGACTTCTGTAAGGTAGGGGAGGGGGTCTAGCCCCCAGTGCTCTTGGGCAGAAACACCAAGGGAACATGTCCCTGTGCCCAAAACGCCACAGGGACAGTAAAACACGCTGCAGCAAAAACTGCTCCAGAGGGCAAGCAGTGCCCTTATAGAGGGTAGAAAGGACAGTTTACCAAGAGCGAGCAGCTTGCGAGGCATCAGCTCTAAGAGGAAAATGGCCACGATCTCTGCTCCCCTGAAATCATCTTCATCCTTTTGTCCTCTGCAAGTAAACGTCTGCAGCAGTAATGAGAGGGGTCCCGGGCATAAACTTGGCCTCCCATGTCCTGCTGACCTAATTAGGCACCCACAAACTGACGCTGTGCTGATGGCACTAGAAAAGTTGGACCATGTGGCCCTAAGGGATGCAAATATCATTGTCAGAGACAGGATTAAAATACAGTTTCTCTGTGTTTCTTCTGTTCATACCACTCTATCAGTGACAACCCAATTCCTCCCTTTCCCAGCCCTGTTCCCAGTAAGAGGACTGAACGTTGTGCCTGGCACTGCAAATTACCATTTTGGCTTCCTCCGCTGGAGTCACCTGGGGCTAAGGGAGGGGGGTGCGACTTATCCATCAGCACAGCAGGAGACGGGACACCAGCTACAGGAACACTGGGGATGTAGTACGGACCTGGCATGGAAGAGACTGCAGGAGGGTACCCGGCTTTTGCTGCTTTGCCTGCTACATACACTGAAAAAGAACAGCAGTCAGCATCACACCAGCCTCCCACAGACCCACACGGCACGTGGCCGAAACCTGCACATCACCAACATTGGTGACAACCCAGCAGGAGGCAACCGGACAAATGAAATGACAAAGACCAATCTGAATTTTTCTAAGCCTCAAAGGGCACAAAGGGGAGTTTAAAAAATGCACACGGCAGGTCAGATGAGCACTGCAAGATGCCCAGCAATTGAAAGACATTCAGCGTGTTACAGCCAGCATTACCGTTGCCATGATTTAGTGGCAGTTCAGCTTTAAAAACAACTGATGACTCAAGTAGCAGGGATGAGGCTCATGAAACTTGACAGATCTGCCTGAGCCTGACCAGGAACCTTGCTGGGTTGCAAGGATTTTGCACTGCTGTAGAGGGCAGCTGCTTTGCATTGCCAGGAAGAAACCTCCCAGGATGCTCTTAGCTCTGACCGCAACATTCACTGACATGACAACAACTTTGGAAGGGGAGCATGACACTTTGGAGAAGCAGGCACAGCTGCCAAGGCAGGGAGGGCTCGGGGAATTACATTTGTAATTAACTTTGAGCGCTCAACCATTGAGCAATAGGTCAGATGCTTCACTCCCTAAGAACTAGTTCTTTAGTCAAGCAAAGTGCTCAGGGCAAAGGAAGCAATATTAGCAGATTCTCCTCCTGTTCTGCCAGGGAGCAGAAGCAGTGCAGGAGAAAATTTGCACCAGGCTTGGACAGGGTCACTCACATGCCCGGGGACAGCAGCAGGACTCGGGACAGCAGGGGCAGCGGACGTAACAGCAGCAGCTGTGTGGGCAGCACTGGCACCAGCAGATCCCCACCAGGAGGAAGAACAGGAACGCCCCCAGGATCACCAGGCCCACAAAGACCCACTCTGGAAAAGAAGGGGAGAGAGAGAGATAACTTACAGGATTGCACATTGCTGTGGAAGGGAACGTCAGCAACGTCCTCCCAGGGGAGAGCATAGGGGCAAAACAGATATGTGAATAACAGAAGTGGACTTCCTGCTGGTCTAGGACTACGTCCCCCTCTCTATCAAAGCAGAAATGGCACATGACAGTGAGAAATGGAGCTACAGAAATGTGGTCCCTTCCTGTGACGTCTCTGGCTGGCTGAGAGGTGAGTAGCACAGAGGCAAGAGTTCTGGTTCTCCAGCACAGAAACCCTTCGCCCCACAGCAGACCTGTATGAACACCGCAGGACATAGTCCATTAGCATTTGGATCTCATCAAAGACTCATTCTTCCCTGTTCATGCCCTGCTTGTGTGTTTGTTCCCTACCCGCATTCTAGTTTTAATGGGACAAACGATGGTGAAAAGCACGCTATAAATAGCCCAGTAAATGAGCCAGGCCTGCCCCTTCGCAACTAGGCCCACGCATGCAATTATTCTTTTGAATGTGCCAAACGAACATCCTATTCAGGCGATGCCTCAGATTATGTCTGCCAGGTCCCGAAAGGGAACAGCTGAAAAACACCCTACAAGTGAAAGCACAGAAGAGCTGGTCCACAAAAACCAGGATGGGGTTTGAATGGGAACAGGAGTGAGAAAAGGTTTCTCAACCTTCGCTGCTGGGAAATCTGCAGCGGCAGCAGCCATGGTGGGAGCAGGCGCCCAGCCTGTGCCGAGGCAGCTCCCAGCTCTGCATCTGGCCACCCTGCGCTTTGCAGGGGACCGTGTGCGCGGGGCTGCGCCTACCGCCACATGGCAATTCCCCGGATTAAGGGAATGGTCAGTGAACACATCTGGACCAAGACATTCCAAGACTTTGAATGTACAGGAGGCCTGGAGTTGGTTTTACATCAGAGAGATGCACCAACCGATCTAGAAGTCAGACCGCTGCTGAGGGAAAATCTGGGGGGAAAGACTCCAGGTGTACCCAGGTGGTTATTCAACCACCTTGGAAAGATGGTAAGAAAGCAAAGAAAGAAGTGGTGGGGCTGCTTTGCAGAGAAAAAAAAGCAGCAGACCACTGTTTCCGAACAGAAGTCCAGCGTTCACTGAGGGGTCTCCTGGTACATTAGTATTTAAGGTGAAGAAGTATTGATACAAGGATTGCAATGAGAGTACAGAATCACACTGGAAAAATAGTGCACCTCTCACCTGTGTCGCTAAGCTGAAAAGTCAAGGAAAAATGTTCAGCTTGGAACAATCAAAACAGAAGTTTTTTCCAGTTCTTAATAAAATACAAAAATAAGAAGTGTCACTTTTCATTCATCCACAGCATTCTGTTTGAACAAAAGTAAAATTCTTAGCTTTGTTATTTTTCCTGAACTCTTCTACAAACAATTCCCTTTTTTAAATGCCATTTTTAATCTAGAACTTACAATTTCCTTTAAAAAACATCAGTGAAAGATCTGGCCTTTACAAATCAAAACACTTGATTTCAGAAGTGTCAAGTGAAATGTTTTATACTTTTTTAATATTTTATTTCTTTTTTTGCTGAAACAGAATAATTTAATTTAAATTTGCAGATAATTTTGGTCCTTGTGGAATAATTTTTTTGGGTGAAGCTACTATACGCTAAGAAAAATTCAGGTAATGAATAAGGAAATGGCTGGAGGGAACCATTCATGAATGGAAAGTAAGAGCTGAGAGGAGATTACTGATGCAGTTCCTCAAGTGCCAGTTCTAGGAACCATCTTATTTAATATTTTCACGAATGACGTTTACACAGAAAATAAGAATGTGTTAATGTATCTTGAGCGTAAGAGGTAGGGAAGTATCGTCGCTAAAGATGAAGACTGGGATATGTTATAGAAAGGGCCAGTTGTCCTTGGGCCTACAATAAGAAACATGAAATGCAGCAATTTCAAGGTATGCAGGAATACTTTCAAGGTCACACATTCAAGGATTAAGAACAATTTCTGTTCTGAACAGGACTTCATTAGTTGAAAACAACTGAAAAACAAGAGAAACAGTCCAGTATGCTATTCCATCACAGGACAACTGTAACCGCTTATGCAATACAGCCACAAAATGGCAAATGTGATCCCATGCCCAGTAGAGGAGGAATTTCCAGTAGTGTTAAGGAAATACTAACGCCATCATACAAGGCCTCCGTGTAACTTCATCTGAAGTTACTGATGTTATGCAGCTCTCGTCATCTTTGTAGAAGAAAAGATAAATTCAGGTTGGAGTGGATGCAAAGCAGGGATTTGAGGGGATGAAGGGACTCGATAGCCTGCCTGGCAGCAGGAGAGCTGAAGCTCGCTGCGTTAGTCTATTAAAAAGAAGGCTGAGAGCAGACGTAGCTGCTGCCTGTAAATATGCTAGGAGGATGAACGCTAGGACAAAAAGCAGGTATTATAGTTAAAGGTCTTACATAAATGGGCATAAACAGGCTACGAATAATGTAGATGGAAGCTAGAAGACGCTAGAAGACGTCAAAGGAAGCAACGCAACAGGAGGGAGAAAGGCCAAACCCAGACTACTCTTAAGCTTGCTAAGCTTATGGAAAGGATGAAATTACATGGCGCTCGGGATAGCAAGCAAGATAGCGAGCCAGACTACCCTTTCCAGTCCTGTACTTCCTAATCTATGCCAATCCGAGCAGGGCAACAGCTCAGTGGCTTTTTCTTTTGTCATGTTCTCATCTTCCTCTCTATGACCATCACTGATACAGAGAAGGAGGTGAAATAGTATCGCATGACAGAAGCGGCCAGCCACAGCTACCCAATGAAGCTCAGGTGTCAGATCTCCAGAGCTATTAGCGAACAGTTCACAACCACTCCATAAAGGATAAAAGCCTGGTAGAGAGAAAAAACAAACAGCAAGTCCATTGTAAGTGTATCTGTGGTCTCTGAAAACATTCTAGGAGTATAAAGGGAGGTCAGGTTAGTATGTACATTGCACATTGCAAGATACTTACTCAGCACCAGGAGTGGATGTTTGAAATGACTGTCCCAGTCACAGGGACCTATGAGTCACAAAGGATTTTACTTCACAGGAAGTTAGACCATTTGCTTCTCTGATGAGGTTAAGAAAACAGCAAAAGAGCCTGCTGGCTCCTCCTTTATGCACAAAACTGGGATTCAACCACTTTTACCTGCAATTCCCTAATCCTTCCTCCAGTACAACTGTTATCTTCTGTCTCAGCCCTTCCAGATACAACTGTGTAACCCTGAGGTTCAAATGACTACCACGCTGAAATGCTATGTGTCCTCGCTGTTTTGTGCTTCAGGAGTATCTGCTTTTGTTTGTTCAGGTAGCAGGCAATGCTAACAGCTGAAATGTGGTTTGCCGCTGCCTTTTACACTTTCTTGTTGTTTATACCCATGCAGTGAGGGTACCAGAAAGCTACCTGGCCAACACGCAAAAATTTTATACCCATTCAATAAAATTGTAAATAGCGGGGAAAAAAAAGTGTTAAGCAACAGAGAATCAACTTCTGTCTACACTGAAAAGACCAAACCCTCTCCTGCTATGCTGAACTTCCAGGAAGCTTTGGGTTACACTGGAGGCGGGGGAGTGTCTGCCTTCTCTCCATTTGCATCTCTGGGACAGACTTGAAAATAGCTTCACACATTTATGTGGAGTTGCGTTTTTGCACAAATGTGTGAAAGAAACACTCCTTGGGCACTGTCAGGGGATGATCAGATGACTCAAGGGCTAAATGTTCTCACAGCTTTTCTGTTTCAAGGACAATCTGTTGCACAGTCTCCGTTTCCTCTGCAAGGAGTGCTGGAACTGGTGGCTCTCATTAGTTTGGTTAGCAAGGGATTTATCATGGGCAGAGAGCCTTCATGTCTGGTCCAACCACCTGGTGTTACTTAGATAATGCCCTGGCCATGCAGCACAAGAGGGACTGTGCTACTGATGGGTTGCTAACCAGTGCTCTATTTCTAGCACCTCCTGTGCTACCATCTGTGGAGATGGCTATAACGGTACTCGCAGGATAGGGTCTGGGGAGTGGAAGTTACTACTGCACAAGAGCAGCTGACTTACAAAGCCATACGGGCACATGAGGCTGCCGAGGTCTCGCAGGCTGGAGCGGCGTTACCTGTGTGCTAGCAGGGGGAGAGCAGAAAGCTTGATACAAAACCTCCCCTGAACAGTGCTTGCATTTCTGCTCTCACGCTGATCCTGGCATGACATCAACCATCTCTGTACGTTGGCTCCCAGCATGGCCATTCCTCCCCCAGGTCCCAGCATCAGCTCGCTCAGATTGCAACCCAACACGCTTTCCCAGTAAGCGATAGGCTTTTCCCTTTTTATCCCCAGATAAAACACACGTAAGAGTGAAACATACACCACATAAAGATGCTGTAGAAAGATAAACAGACAAGATGACAGAGGACTGGGTGATTGAAGGGTGAGATGACGGAATACCTGGCATAATCTCCACAGCAAAACTGGGCAAGAGATCAGCAAGCAGCCCTGTCCTGCCTAGAAAAGACAGAAGGAGGAGAACAAGGAGAGGTTACTGCAAGAAAAACACACTCCCCAGCCCCTGCCTTAGCCTCCAGTCCCCTTCCTCGTCAGCCCACTTGCACTCTGTTAAGTGAATTCCTATCAACCATAGATGTCATCCTGCTCGATGCCTGGTGTCTGCCTCTGCACTTCTGCCATTTCTGTGTCCTTGCATTTTATCTTTATCAGCAGAGCTGGGGGGAAAGAATCTGGAACAGAGCTTCTCCGATCTAGGCACAAAATGACAAGAAGAGGGAGGTCCCCTTAGCGTGGTTACATGGTAACATCTTTCTGGAGTTATGCTCTACGCATGCAAAAAGCTCCTGGAAATGCAGGACAGCCCTCAAACAGAAGGATTTAGTTTACTTTAAAAATGTACTGATGTAGTTTGGATGGATGTGAAACATCTTTAACCCAAGGCCCTTGACAAGTCAGCCGCATGCATCCAACACCCGTGGGTGGTGCTCTCCATGTGGGTCTCTGCAACTGCAGAGACAGCTCCAGTGAAGGAGTCTTGAAGTGAGTATGTACTACTTATTTCAAGATGCACGAGCAACTTGGTGAGATTGTGTGATATAAGGCCAACTCTCAAGCAAAGCAAACCAACCAGGGAAGGATTCATGTAGAGATTTGTGGAATCACTTTGCAAAAGGAAAAGAAAAAAAAAAAGCAAGTCAACTTCTAAATTATAACTGAATACAAACAGAATCCAAGCCCAAAGGCAGCTTGGTGCCTAGTTGTTTTGGCACTGAATGTCTGGGATATTTCTAATACACAGCAAACACCCTGCACAGTGTTCAGCTATAATTTACACACACCTGTGCATCGGCAGAACAGCCCTATGTGCAGCTGTGCTGTGTACTCTCTTATATAGCACCAGGATCATGCTAGGTTTTTTAAAGACATGCATAAGGTAGGACAGCTGCACTCTGAAGAGAGACATACATTGTGGATATAACATAACAGAAGCAGCTAAGGGTAAGCCAATGCAAAAGTGGTACAAAGCTACCTTTAACCTCCCCACTAAGCAGCACTCAGACACAATGATGAACTGGATCCCAAGTTCCTTGGCCTCTAATCTGTCCTTGAAGCGTGTTACAATCAAATTCTCACTGTCCGTTTTTTCTCAGTGCTTCAGTAGAGGTTCTGTAGAGATCAAAAATCCACAAGGATGCCTACTGGAGCCATAATAAACATACTCTGAATGCAGGCAGTGCTTTGCAACCAGTTGCAACTCATCAAAGCTGTCTAGTACTCACAGTAACGCCATCACGATGAGGTGCTCCTGAAGCTTTAGCAAAAAGATACAATGCTGATCCTTCAGATAATTTATTACTTTCAAGGAGGACTCTTGCCATCAGTCTACTGCAACATTTTCATCTACACATACAAAGAGTTTCATGGCATTCTTTGCAGTCCATTTTCTGGAAGGATCAAGTGTCCAGACTGTTCACAGCTAGTTTGTTATGGGAAAGTGCTCATGTATGCTTTCTGTTCACAAGATATAGGCACGTATACAACATATGTGTTGCTTAAGCCTTGGGTGCCACAAGTGGGCTCCAAACACATGCAACAAATGTATGTCTTGTGTCACAGCATCCTAGATTTACATTACGTTCCACACGCATATTAAATATATTCCTTATTTTCCCAGCACACACACAAAAATACGCAATTCTTGCATAGGCCTCTGTATGCATGTAAGTGAACCACATGCACGCAGAACACATGGGCAGACAGGGGTATGCAGCTCGCCTCCCATGTGTTTTCATCTCTGCACAAGCTCACCTGAGAGCAGACGCCAGTGGACAAATAGCTGGAGGCATATAGCTAATTTAGGGCTGTGATCTGTGGTACCAGAGCTAAGGGAGTGACACCTATAGAGCAGAAGCTCCACCTGACAAGTCCAAATAGGCGCCTGCTTTATTTTGAACCTACCCGAACACCCTCGATCCCTGCTAGTCAGCACTAGTTCATGAAGCACACGAACCACATGTTCAAGGGGGAAGAAGCATCCCTCAAAAATAACAGTGCTTGAGAACTTGGTTACTCATCACAAAGACAGCCAAAGTAGTTCCTCTGTGCTACCTACGAGCACTCAACTATTCCCCTGCTTGTGCAGCCTCACTCGGCTCTGCTGAGTATCCGCTTGGGGAATTTGCTCCCCCTGCCCTGCAGCGGGGCTCGCACAGCCCTGGGGGCCCGTGAGCCACCAGCAGGGGATGCACAAAGCCCGGGGGGGCCCGAGGCAG